TAAACTGATTGAAAGATTATGTCTTCATCACATGAAAATCAAGCACAATCCCTCCCGTTAGGGGTTTAGTAGCATAACATCATAAAATACATGAGAAGAACATAACCCGTATCATGTCAACAACTGGTTTTAGAATAAATGTGTTTATTTCCGATGGAAAGACCCTTTGAGTGAATCAATATTAATACCAAATATTCAATATGGCTGCCAAACAGTTATCACCTTAGAAAGTAAGCTCCCAGTTTTAGCAGTTTTTTGCCAAATTTAGGAAGACACTGTCTGTGAATTTAGTACTATGTGATAGCTAATTCAATGGAGAATAGAATGATACATTTTTTTATAGAATTATAATCAACAGGAAACACTTTGTGACTTTTTTCCAGAAGGATCTATATTGATATGTTATTATTAATTTCTACTACTAGAGGTGACAATATATATATACAGTATGTCTTCAGGGCAAAATGTAGCTGGTATACAATCTACAAACAAAAGATCTACTACTAAACCTGGGAATACTGTTCAGACATTGCTTGCAGCAAACAGTGGATAAGAATAAACCACCACCTAATAAACGAACTCATTCAGACGTATCTAATGAATCAAACAAAAGTCTAGACTTATCTGGTATAATGAACTTTCAAATGGATATTGAGAAAATGAAATTCAAACAAAAGATCTGATAAAAACTAGTGATCTTGAGCAAGTAGTTTCTGTAATTGTTGAAAAGCTGATGAATGAATTTGAAATAACTGTACAAAACAAGATTGATGCAAAAGTTGAAGAAGTTAAAAATGAAATGCAGGAAAAATTTGATACTTTATCTATAGAAAATGAAAACCTGAAGAACAAGATACAAGCTATACAGTATTCAAATACAACAATTAGAAGAGACCTTAATGAAACAAGTCGACTTTCAAAACAGGCTGATATAAGCAGCAACTACAATGAACAGTACTCAAGAAAAGATAACATTAAAATAATAAATTTTCCAAGAAAGGATAAACAAGAACTTTATGGAAACTGTTAAAAAAGAACTAAATGTCCAGTTAGAAGATATAGATGTGGTTGCAATTCGCCGTATACCATCACAAAAGGCTGGGCCCTATCCAGTTATTGTTAAACTATTCAGTAGTGATGTTAAGCGTCAAATTATGAGATGTAGGAAAGAATTGACCAGTAAAATTAGATTTGTGGATGATGTTACTCAAAAAAATATGAGCTTAATTGAGAGACTTAGAAAAACTGAAGAATTTGAATCTGTCTGGTACTACAATTGTAGAATTTATCGCAGAACATTTGCAGGACTTAAGCTGAAATTTGGACTATATGACAACAATCAGTACAGAGTACAACAAGGGATATAGAAGTTATGTAAATAGAACTTAGACCTCACGGACAGTTTTGAGAATTCTATTGTTCATTGTTGATATTTGACTAAATATTTGTTCTTATTTCCCTTTCTTTGTATAATAAAACACAAAGTTATCTCCCTTGTAACTGTAGGTCATCTACATTATTTATTTTCTTTATATATATATAAACATTTTTTGTACAGATAATTTAGATTTTGGTTGAACTAGCTTTTTGTTGGTATCAAATATTTCAAACTGCAAAAAACTGACAAATTCCAAATACAATGAGGCTAAACATATTGAAATATTTTTTTCTTTTAACAATATTCTTGTCTGTTAATTATATTTTTTTCTAAGAAATGAATGTCTTTAAAGTATTGAATTACACTGTTGGTTCATGTATGAAGCTTGGTAATACATGTATGTCGAGAATTTTTATAATGCCATATCTAAATGTTTTGAGCAAATCTTTTTTTTTTGTATATGTTTAAGTTCAACTTGGAGAATAACATTTATCAGGTATACTCTTAAACCTCAAAATATCAGTCATCAATTTACATTTCAGTTAACTAAGTTGTCCCTGTGAAGTCCATACAATGCTTTATGTTAAATTATAATTTGCGCAGCATTTTTTGGTGTGCTTTTTATCAAATGTCAATTGGGTTAAAATGTTTTGCCCTCTTTATTAAGTATTAACCTACCAACACTTTGCAAAATTTTGAGCTTTAATTGATAAGTGTTCATTTAAGTTGTATAACACATTCCATACTAAACCACATTTAGAAATTTATCGTCATATATCAATATTTGTTGATAAATGTTTTATATAAACTTGAAATACACTCAATTGCCCATACAATCGAAACATGTATGACTAAATAGAAGAAAGGTACCAAAAAATGGCAATGGTTTGGTTGTTCTAAAAATGGTAATTATCAATTGAAGATGTATAGCGCCAGATTGTTAAGAGTACTCATCTTGGGATATTCGCATCAATTCTAGTAAGAATATAATCATTCTTGCTGCAGTTCACTATTTTGTTATTAACTGATGTCGGGTAATATCTCAATGAACAAAATTGATTTCCATCAAGTTATCTTATTATTCAATTGCATACGTCTTACGTCCTTATTTTTCATTACTTTGAGATAGTAAACTTTACACTTTATACGTACAAAATGAATACAATATTTGGAGGAAAATTTCCACTAGGCAAAATTGTTTGAACACTGGTTAATACATAGTATACATTCTGACTAAAGTGCGCCATGCAATAAATAGTAATTATACGTGAATAGCTTAAATGATTAACGTTATATGCAAACATCTGCCAGGCATGCTCTTAAACCTATAGAAATCAGTGTTGTTCTTAGACAATTATACCGCTTCATAAATAATGAATATGAAAACAAAAACATTTGTCTTAGTGGGCATAATTTATAACAGCTAGGTCGAAACAAATGTTGTGACATCAAAGGATGAGACCCTTATGCAATCATATCAATATCGACTGGCAACAGGGTTACGATAGATGGATCTGTGTACAAGCAGTATAAAGTCACCAAAGAATGCTAGCAGAGAACATTAATCACGAATTTCAATTCAGTTATTTAAGTTGTCCGTCGGAACCCATAATTCTTAACTCATATAATATACTCTGCACAACAGTTCCCTTTATTTTGTTTAGCAATTAATTATAGTGGAACTAATATTGGTTTAAATCATATTTCCTGCCTCATTAAGAAATAACGAACGACATTCAACCAAGGTTACCGTGTATAGTTATACTTGAACAATTTCATTTAAGTTTCGGAAACCTTCCAGACTCGATGGCAGTCAGAAGTTTAATGTAATACATCGATATTTGTTGATAGTGTGTAACATTAACTGTGTTTCCAGTTAATAACACTAAACATGACATGAAAATATCTTATCAATTAAATAACATACATCCAAATTTCCTCATTTTTTATAGGAATGTTATAACTGAAAATGAATCCCAAATTAGACACACACAATTTATCTATGTGAAGAAAAAAACATTCTAAACATTAAAAAAGCATCATTATTGTCTCATTCTCTTTTCTATGAAAGGTATACCGATGTTCAAATGTCTTAAATCAATTGAGAATACAATTCAAGGTGACGAATAACGACTAGGGGGGACGGCATGAAATCAAATAGGAGATAGACCTGATGCGTAGATAGTGTAACACATGCATAAAAAAAGTACAGAACTCCAAGATAAATTCAAAAAGAGGGAAGCTTATAAAATATGACAATACCAAACACTCCACTATATCAACCAACGGAAATCATGAAAAAGAACTGTCATATCCCTGTTTTTGTAAAGAAATTTTTGGGAGAAAAGAAGTTGTCGTTTTAACTTGGTTTAATATCTAGGTAAACCTCTTTGATGACAGTTAACGAAAGATCAAAGATTTTCTACCCCCAAAAAAGATAAGTTTTGCTGTATTTAGAAGAACTTTTCGGAATTTAGGGTCCTCTTTGCTTTTCACCTACGTACTTTATTTGGCCTGTTTAAGTTTTTTTATTCGTGCGTCACTGATAAGTGTTTTATAGACAAAAACGCGAGTCTGGCGAACAAAATTTTAATCTGGTATCTATGATGAGTTTATTCATAGTTCCATTCTATTGAAAAAATTGTATGAGCAACATAAAAGGACATAACCGGTGAACGCGACGATAATTGGGATCAAGCAGTCATCATAGATATTTTTTTTATACAACACTGTTAACTTAAACACATAAAAAAAAACATACAAATAAATCCGACTATGGCGTCAACAAAAACATGTGTTAGTCGATATAAGCGCCTCTTCATACAAGTGATAGATTTAAATAGCAATAATACCAGATTTAATCCACCATTTTCTACATAAGGAAATGCCTGTACCAAGTCAGGTGTATCACAGTTGTTTTCCATTTGTTTGATGTGTTTGAGCTTTTGATTTTGCCATTTGATATTGGACTTTCCATTTAGAAATTTCCAGGGACTTCGGTATTTTTGATATTTTACTTTTTGCTATGCATTCATCAATAGTCATGTTTATCAAAATTCTGTCACAATTTAAGAATCAAGAACAGGACATAATCGGTAAAAATACGGATAATTCGACTGTTCTAGTACATGCATATAAAGATGTAGGACTTCAAAAACATGTCGTTAGTGAGTCGAGAAAATGATACTTCTTATCAAACCACCAATTCGTGAATATGACCGTGAAACTTGTGAGTGTCGATATCATTTGTTCATCCTGCTAACTCGTTTAGGGCAGAATTGTTGCATGGCCTTTGAAAGAATATGCATCTGGTTGGTTAATTGGTTGCTGTTTAGTTTTATGAACATAATATAATTTCAAATGTTATGATTCGTCGTATGCTTTTTCTTTATAAATACAAAAGGATTTACGTTAAAGAAAGTGCCCAACGTGACCTCAACACCAAATTAATATAACACAATTTTTGACATTTGTAGAAAAGTTGCAATTAACTTTTTGAAAAAAGGATGAAGAAATTTAACATGAATGAATTAATACTAGAAGATGTGTGATATAATGCAATAGCAATCAAGCAGCACATAGCGGCATTTTGTTTGTTTCTTGGCGGGATTAAGGTACTTACAATTCTGTTAGAGCCGATAATTCTTCAAATAAGTTTGTTTCTATCCTTGTAATATTATTGCCCGACAAATTCCTGAAAAGTACATTTCTAAAATTCATTTTGCATAACACTAATTTCGTAGAAATCATAGGCAACTGGCAGTGGTGTACGTATAGCTGTTTGAAAACTGATTTAATTATTGCATGCATAAATGACACAATGTAATTTTATTGCCCGACAAATTCCTGAAAAGTACATTTCTAAAATTCATTTTGCATAACACTAATTTCGTAGAAATCATAGGCAACTGGCAGTGGTGTACGTAGAGCTGTTTGAAAACTGATTTAATTATTGCATGCATAAATGACACAATGACAGTTCTTGTAACCTTAATAATTTAAGTTGGAGAATAACATTTTCAAGGTCTACTCTTAAACTTAAAAACTCTTGTCCTCACACTTTGTTTTACAGCATTACGAAGAAGAATTTGATTACAAAAACATTTGTGTGTGTAACCATATTTAACACCAGCTAGGTCAAAACAACTGTTGGCAGACATTTGGAATATCAGTAATCAATTTTCAATTTATTACCATAGTTGTCCCTGTCAAGTCCACAAAATGCCTTATGCGTACGTTATAATTTCCCACAACATTTTTGTTGTGTTTTTTTTATCAAATCAAAATTGCATTAAAATGTTTTTCCCTCTTCGATTAGTATTTATCACTAAATATTTTCTAAATTGCGCACATTTTTTTTTTTAGCTTTAATTGATAAGTTTTATTCAAGTTGTATAAAACATTCCATCCTTAACCACAATCAGAAATTTATCGTAATATATCGATACTCGTTGATAAATGTTTTATATAGACTTCGAATACAATCGATTACGAATTTAATCCAAATATGTATGACAAAATAGAATAAAGGTGCGTCAAAAATTGTCCAAAGCACAATGGTTTGGTTGTTATGAAAATGATAATTCTCAATCGAAAATGTGTAGTGTCAGATTGTTAAGAGTATTCTTCTCTTTAAATATATGCCTCATTTCTAATAAGAATATAATCATTCCTGCTGCAGTTTACTATATTGTCATAAACTGATGCAGGGTAATCTCTCAATGGACAAAAGTGATATCCCTCAAGTTATCTTATTATTCAATTGCATAACTCTTGCGTCTTTTTTATTTTATTACTTCCATTGGGAAACCTTATACTCTATATGGACAAAATAAATAAAATATTTGTAGTAAAATTGCAGTGCGGCAGAGATGCTTGAAAACTGGTTAATACAGAGCATATATTCTGATAAATGTGGTATACAATAAAAAGTAATTACACGTGAATAGCTTAAATAATTAACGTGCATTTAAACCATCTACCAGTCCTGCTCTAAAACATAAAAAAGAATCGTGTTGTTCTTAGACAAATATACCGCTTTATAAATAATGAACTTAAAAACAAAAACAATTATCTTAGTGGCCATATTATATAACAGCTAGGTCGAAACATATGTAGGATGGCTTTACGTGGGATCTTATGACATCATAGACTGATACCCTTATGCAATCATGTCAATATCAATTGGCAACAGGGTAACGATAAATGGATGATAAAGTCACCAAAGAATGCTGACAGAGAATAATAATCACAACTTGTATTGATTTATCTAATGTGTCCGTAGGTATCCATACTTCTTAACTCATATAATGTCATTTGTACAATGGTTTCCTTTATTTTCCTGAGAAATACTTGTAATCAAATTAATAAAGGTTAAACCATATTTCCTTACTCAATATGAAGTATAACAAACGACAGTGTCACCAAGGGTAACGTTAAGAGTTATAGTTGAACAATTTCATTTTAGTTTCATAATACTTCCACACTCGATCTGAGTCAGATTTTTAAAGTAATACATCGATATTTTTTTATTAGTATGTAACATTAACTGTGATTCCAGTTGATTATTCTAAAAAGTAAACAATCTTAAAGAAATTCACATGCAAATAGTCCACTGTATAGTGTTTTAATGAAATTGAGATTGATAATGTTATTCGTGTTATTCCTCTTAGGGTAGATGGTTTTGATTATAATTTGGTCATCCCTGATCAATTGAACTATTGTTTCATCAAACGACACAGGCAACCTCCATAATCAATCTTCTGTGATCTTGAAGTTATCTTATCTTATCAATAACAGACATCCAAATGTCCCTATTTGTTTTTTTTTTATAAAAATGTTACACCTTTAACCTAATACCAAAATTAGATTAACACAAAATTTATCTATTTGTAGCAAATTTTGCTAAACATTAAAACAAAAGAAATTAAAGGAAATGAATTAAAGCATCAGTATTCTTTCATTCTCTAGATCTTTTCTATTAGAGGTTTACCGATTTTTAAATATTATAAATCGATTAAGAATAGAATTGATGGTAACAAGCGTAGACTGAGAGATTACATGAAATCTAATAGAAGAGATACCTGGTGCGTCGACATTGTAATACATGCATTAGCAAAATACAAAACTCGAAGATAAATTCAACAAGCATTCTGAGAGTATTAAATGGCAATACATTGTCCCCTAACGGTTAAAATTCATTGTACTGGAACAAAATTCTTACTTGATCTATAACTTGTCATGGTGTAAACAATATAACAAATATCAAGTCAATATCTTCAAGTATGACGAAAAAAAGTGTGGAAAACTGATTATTAAAGTAAATCCAAGGACCATAACTCTGCACAAATCATCAGACCGGAACAAAATTTGAACTTGATCTGTAACTTGTCATGATAAACTATACACCAATTTTCAAATCAATATATCCAAGCATGACGAAAAAAGTGAGGAAAACTAATTGAGTAAACTTTCGAAGTCCAAGGACCAAAACTCTGCACAAAATCAGCAGACCGGAAAAAATTCTACCTTGATCTGTAACTTGTCATGATAAAACAATACACCAAATCGGACAGAAAGACAGACCGACAGACAGACAAAAGAAGTGCAAACCTTAAGTCCTCTTCGACTTCGTCGGTAGGGGACTAAAAAGAGGGAAGTCCATAAAATCTTACAAAACCAAACGCTTGATTATATCAACCAACGGAACTATTGGAAAACAACTGTCATATTCCTGTTCTTGTACAGACATTTTTAGAAGAAAAAGACATTGTGGTTTTAACTTGGTTTAAAAGCTAGGTAATCCTCCCACTTTGATGACAGTTATCAAAATACCAAAGAGTTTCTACCTCAAGAATTGAAAACCTTAGCTGTATTTGGAAAAAAATTTTGGCGTTCAAAATTTTAATCTGGTATCTATGGTTAGTTTATTCATAGTTCGGTTCTAAAAGGATATAATCGGGATCAAGCAGCCAAAATTGTATAAACATACATCATAGATATACAACAAAATTAACCTAAACACATCCAAACAAACATTCAAATAAATCCGACAAGGACGTCAACAACAGAAATGTGGAAGTTGGTAAGCGTCTCTTGATACAAGTGATAAAACGAGGTTTGATCCACCATTTTCTACATAAAGAAATGCATGCACCAAGTCAGGAATATGACAGGTGTTTTCCATTCGTTTGATATGTTTGAGCTTTTGATTTTGCCATTTGAAAAAGGACTTTTCATTTAGAATTTTCCTATGAGTTTGGTATTTTTGATATTTTACATTTTGCTATGCATTCATCACCAGTCATGTTTAGTAAAATTCAGTCAAAATTTCACAATCAAGAACAGGACATAATCCGTGAAAATACGGATAAATCGACTGTTCTAGTACAGGCAGATGGTGGCAATTTTTTTTTCTTCTTGGCGGAATTACGGTACTTGCAAGTCTGAAAGCGCAGACAATACTTCGAACGAGTGTGCATCTATCATTGTACTATCAATGAACATTGAATCCCTAAAAATTACATTTCTTAACTTCATTTCTGCATAACATTTCTTTCGTAGAAATCACAGACAACTGGCAATGGTGTACATAGAGCTGTTAGAAAAATGAGTTAGTTATTACATGCATACATATATTGTTTAACATCTCACCCCTTATTTTATTGATTTTGTATTTACATTGTGTCATAGATCAAATGTATTCGTTCGGTGTATGTTCACTTGTTTTGGTTAATATGTCTTTTGAGTGAGTTAAGCTATTTCAATTGATATAGTATAGTGTGTATTTTATGTTGTTATGTCACACTATTGTTTCAGGTAAGGGTGAAGGTTGGTACCTATTCAAACGTTTAAACCCGCTGCATTTGTTTGCACCTGTCCTATGTCAGGAATCTGATGTTCAGTGGTTGTCGTTTGTTGATGTGGTTCATAAGTGTTTCTCTTTTCTCGTTTTTTATATAGATTAGACCGTTAGTTTTCCTGTTTGAATGGTTTTACACTAGTAATTTTTGGGGCCCTTTATAGCTTGCTGTTCAGTGTGAGCCAAGACTCCGTGTTGAAGACCGTACTTTGACCTATAATGGTTTTTTACAAATTGTGACTTGGATGGAGAGTTGTCTCATTGGTACTCATACCACATCTTCTTATATCTATGACATAATGGCAGTGATTTAGGGTTAGTATTTAAGTTGATGAATAACATTTTTAATGTCTGCTCTTAAGCCTAAAAACTCTTGTCATCAGACCCTTTTGCAGCATTACGAATGATGAATTTGAATACAAAAACGTTTGTGTTTGTAACCATATTTTACAGCAGCTAGAGCAGCTAGGCCAATACAATCGTTGGCAGACATTTGGAATATTAGTTTATCAATTTTCAATTCAATTTGTCCCTGTGAATTCCACACAATCCTTTATCCGTAGATTATAAGTTTGCCCAACATGTTTCGTTGTGTGCTTTATCAAAAGAAAATTGGATTAAAATGTTTCAGTATTTACCCACTAAAACTGCAAAATTACTCATATATTTGAAGCTTTAATTGAGAAGTTTTCATGTAAGTTGTATAAAACATTCCAGACTAAACCACAATCAGAAATTGATCGTTATATATCGATATTTATTTATATATATTTTATATTAACTTGGAACACAGTCGATTAGCCATAAAATCCAAACAAGTATGAGAAGAAAAAAAAAGAAAAGGTAAGTGAAATTTATAATTAAATAATTTCAATTTAGTTTCATTATGCGTCCAGACTCGATCGTAATCAGAATTGTAATGTAATACATCGAGATTTGTTTAAAGTATGTTACATTAACTGTGATTACAGTCAATAAGTATGAATCAGAGAATTTATAAGAAGTAAACGCTAATCAACGAGCGAAGTACTACGTATAAATTATCTAGCTTAACCCATTTCTAATCTGTTTTACGTTTTAACAATACATCAACGGAATTTCGTAAAGATAATATCGTATTGTTTATTTTTTATTCTATATTCTATGGAAATGATTTTATCCACACGGTTCACATCTATATGTAGACATTCGACAAGTTATCATAAGTTTAATATAACTTAAACGGGGTGTTATCTCCCCTTTTTAACTCCAAATTTCATATTGGTTAATAAATATTTCATTTAATGTTTAATTATAACAAATTATTTAAATGAATGGATTTTGGTATTTATGATTTATTTAGACATATATTATTATACAGAATTTATATATTTTGTTTTGAAAAGTTTAAAAAAATTTTAATTACCAAAATTTAGAACCTTTGAAATATTGCTAAATACTATATATATATATAATTGTCTGAATAATAGCCAACGATAAATCTTACGGGGCGATGGATCATATAATTATGATACAATACACTGCAAAATATAATATATAACAAGTCTAAAAGGGTACAACATCACCAAAATATATATTTTTTTGGTGATGTACCCTTTTAGACTTGTAGTATTTAGCAATATTTATTAAGTTGCCTAAGAGCTAGCTGCCAAATAGCCGTACTAATCAAGATCTATAAAAAAAGAGGATAGCGGAAGGGAGATTCAAATTTATAAGTCAAAAATAAAATGAAAACTCCATAGCTTAAAAAGAAAAAGACCAATATCCAATTAATAGTGTACAAAACACAACGTAGAAAACTAAAGACTGAGCAACACGAACCCCACCAAAAAACTAGGAGTGATCTTAGGTGCTCCGGAAGGGTGAGCATATCCTGCACCACATCTGACACCCGTCGTGTTGCTCATGTTAGTACAAACCCGGTAATAAGTCTAATTCGGTTGGTCACATTCGGGAAAAGGCGCGGAAATGTAGTTATGACATTAGTAACATTTCCGCTACCATCTGTGAAACGGATATTCCATAACGAACAACCAACTCGTGATGGTGTCCGTGAAATTTACGAACGGATTATATCAACTTCAACACTTGGAACTCTTGGTTTAATAGCTTCCATGTGAGCAGCAACCCCCATCAAGGAAATCATGATAGGAAATACAAGCCCTAGAATATTGTATCAACTGGAAGATATTTACTTCGTATGCATGCACTGCTGGAATGTTGCTACATAGAAATGGAATCCTTTATCCTTTATCTCAAGTTCGATGGGATAGATGCCTTCAACATAGTCACTAAATTTTGAATTATTTAGTGAGAGAACATCATCTATATAGGGGAAAGTAAAATTAAATGATACTGCTAATTATTTTCTTTCTTCCTAAGAAGTTCCTGTATGAAATCAGCCTCATATAAGTAAAGGAACAAGTCGACAAGAAAAGGGGCACAGTTGGTTCCCATGGTATGCCGATTTTTTTTTGAAAAACACGCCCTCCACACGTAACAAAAATACTGTCAATCAAGAAAACAAGCATCTTGATAATGTCAGTTTCAGAGACGTTTTTGTTTGAATCAGAATGATGTCCAAAATAAAGAAAAGTATATGCTAAAGGTTTTATTTGAACAATTATATATAAATATTGTTTAAAGTATTTCCGTTTCATTAAGTTTAGATTATTTTAGGGTTATTACAGTTGGCATCCATCGTCAATCAGTTAATAAGCTGTGGTACGCATTCCCGATTCCCCATCAGAATTGCTCTTGCTGCAAATGTATAATTTTGTGTTTAGAATATGATTTTTGTCATTTACCCGCCTCAGTCTCCACAGTTGCTCTGTTCTAGGGTTGTCTTATTCAACAAAAAGTCTCGTCATCAGTTCTTGTGCCATATTTTTACAGTATAAATTGGCATTATAAACTTTCTCTCAAGCTTAACCCATGTGCAGATGAATTTCTGACTCTTATTTTAGAAGGAGGGAAAACGTATATTATCTCGCCATTCGAATAAAAAAGAACCCATCGCGAATGAAATACTATTTTATTCGTTTTATTCTTCTCAAGTAAGATGAGTTTGATTATAATTTTGTCATCCCTGATCAATTTAACTATCTTGTCATCAAACGATTTAGGAAACACCCATCAACAAACTTCTGTTGACTTGCAGTTATCTGATCAAATTCATTTACATACATCCACATTTTTTTTCTCCATAGAAATGGTACATCTTAAATCTAAAACCAAATTGAATCAGCAAACAATATAATTATTTGTATTTACGGTGGTACCAAACACCTTGACTAAAATTAATTTGGCTCGTTTAATTTTCATAAAATTTTCACAAAATATTCACTTTGACCCTTTGACAAAAATATAAAAAATTAAAAAAACTTAAACCACACACTTTATCGGAAAAATTTCATTGGATACATAGCAGTTTGAAAAACATTCATTTTTATCATTGAGAAGCTTAATATTTCCTTAATAATAGAACGTGATTAAAACGTTGAGCTGATTTTTACAGAGTTATCTCCCTGTAGTGTTATGTACGACCTTAATTTTCAAAATATTAAAATAAAAGAAATTGAATGACATCAATAATTAAAGGCATCAGTATTCTATCAGAGGTTTACCGATGTTAAAAAATCATAAATCGAAAAAAAATAATAATTCAAGGTAACAAACAAAGACAGAGCGATTGCATGAAATCCAATAGGAGAGAGACTTGGTACGTAGACAGTGGAACATATGCATTAGAGATACAGAAGTCCAAGGTAAATCCAAACAGAGAGAAGTCCATAATATCTGACAATACAAAACGTTTGACTATATCTACAATAGGAAAAAAAAAAACAAAACAATTTAATATTCCTGTTTTTTACAGCCATTTTTCGAAGAAATACAAAATTGTGGTTCTAATAGCGAGGCAAACCTCCCACTATGATGCAAGTGATCAAATTACTCCGGATTTGTTTTACTCCAGGAATAGATTACCTTAGCTGTATTTGGCAAAAAAATGTCGTTGGTCGGTGGAGAAAAGAAATGATTCGTGTCAGTCAGCCAATTCGTGATGGTTACGGCACAACTTGTGAGTGTTGATTTCATTCGTGCATCCTATAACTCTTTTGAGGAGATTGTTTGAAAGAATATGCATCTATTGATGTAAAGTGGTTGCTTTTTAGTTAAATAAAGATAAAAACAATTTTGAAATATAAAGATTCGTCGTATGCTTTATCTTTATAAATACAGAATTATTTACGTTTACGAAAGGGCACAACGTGAACTTACCATCAAATAAATAAAACACAAATTTTAATATTAAAAGAAAAGTTGCAATCCAATTTTTTTTAAAAGAATGAAGAAATGCCTATAGATATTATCTTCATAAAAAATAATGAAACATGAATGAATTAATACTAAGAGATATGTGATATAATGCAATAGCAAACCAGCCGCACACGGTGGCATTTGTGTTCTTGGCTGAAGTAAGATACTTACAAGCTTTTAAGTCCCGACAATCCTTGAAATGAATTGGCATCTATTCTTGAAATGTTATTCCTCCACAAAGACCTGAAAATAATTTTCAAAAGTTTCATTTTGCATTACATTTTTTTGGTAGAAATCATAGACAACTGGCAGTGGTGTAAGTAGAGATGTTTGAAAACTGATTTAATTATATGCTGCATACATGACATAATGACAGTTTTTTAAGCTTTATACTTTAAGTTTGAAAATAACATTGATAAGGTATATTCTTCAACCTATAAACTCTTGTCCTCAGACCCTTTGACAGCATTACAAAAGATAAATCTGATACAAACTCATTTGTGTTATAACATTATTTTACAGCAGATAGGTCAGTACAACTGATGACAGATATTAAAAATATCAATCTTCAATTTACAATTCAGTTCATTAAGTTGTCCCTGTAAAGTCCATACAATGATTTATGCTTAAACTATAATTTGCGCAACATTTTTTGTTGTGTTTTTCATCAAATGAAAATTGGGTTAAAATGTTTTACCCTCTACGTTAAGAATAAACCTACCAACTCTTTACAAAATTTTGAGTTTTAATTGATACGTTTTTATTTAAGTTTTATCCAACGCAATCATAGGTCGAACGTTGTTTTCAATTTAGACTTGTTTATATTTTTTTCGTTTGGGCTTGTATTATATTTTCCTTCGGGTTTATATGATCCGTTCATCCTATTTCGACTCTCTAAAATTCAAGAGTCTAACCTAAATTGAGGTCAATTATATGGCCTTCCAAATACCGTTTCGATTCCTAACATCACTGAAGAGACATTAATTGTCGAAATCCGGATATGGTGTACAAATTTTTGCACCTCATGTTTGTGGTATATCATCTTTTGTGCAAGTTTATTGTTTTCTGTTTGGTATTAAATTAATGTTAAGATTCATTTTGTTACATCTGGTGATCAATTATTTGGCAATCGCCAATGGCAGTCAGCAGTGTTTAATAAACATCCGTTATTCGACCTGTTAGTCAAATGCGTTTTGTTTAAATATACTTTTTAACTTTTTTGGTCTTTTGGAAAATGTTGTTTGTGCTGTATTTAGACCACTCTACCAAGAAATTTGTTTTACATGCACACGTATAAAAATTGCGGTTTTTATCCAACGCAATCATAGGTTTGAACGTTGTTTTCAATTTAGACTTGTATATATATCCCTGATCAATTTAAATATCTTGTAATCAAACGATACAGGCAATCTCCATCAACAAACTTCGTTGACTATAAGTTATCTGATCAAATTCAATTACATATATCCAAATGTTCTCATTTTTTCTCTCATAGAAATGGTACATCGTAGACCTAAAACTCAATTCAATCAACACGGAATATTTAAATTTGTAGTTAATTTTCTAAATATTAAAATAAAAGAAATTAAATGACATAAATAAAGAAAGTCATCAGTATTCTATCAGAGGTTTACCGATGTCCAAGATCCTAAATCGATTAAGAATATAATTCTAGGTAACAAAAAAGGCTGGGGGATTGCATGAAATCCAATAGGAGAAAGACCTGATACGTAGACAGTGGAACATTTGCATTAAAAGATACAAAACTCCAAGGTAAATCTAAACAGAACATATTTTTTAAATGTAACGATTCTTCGTATGCTTTATCTTTACAAATACAAAAGGATTTACGTTTACGAAAGGGTACAGTGTAAACTTTACATCAAAATAATATAAAACGAATTTTGATGTTTGTAGAAAAGTTGCAATTCACTTTTTCAAAAAGAATGAAGAAATGCCTATAGATATTATATTCACAAAAAATAATGAAATATGAATAAATTTATACTAAGAGATGTGTGATGTAGCAAACTAGCCACACACGGCGTCATTTATCTTCTTCCTATCCGAATTAAATTACTTACAAGTGTGTAAGTGCCGACAATCCTTGAAATGAACTAGCATCTATTCTTGTAATGTTATTACTCCACAAATACCTGAAAATAATTTTTAAAAATTTCATTTTGCATTACATTTTTTTTTTTTTTTGTAGAAATCATAGACAACTGGCAGTGGTGTACGTAGATCTGTTTGAAAACTGATTCAGTTATTGCATGCATACATGACATAATGACACTTTTTAAAGCTTTATACTTTAAAATGGAGAATAACATTTATAAGGTCTACTCTTAAACCTAAAAACTCTTGTCCTCAGACCCTTTGACAGCATTACAAAAGATAAATCTGATACAAACATATTTGTATTATAACATTTTTTTACAGCAGCTAGGTCAACACAACTGTTGACAGACATTAAGAATATCAGTCATCAATTAACATTTCAGTTAAATAAGTTGTCCCTGTGAAGTCCATAAAATGCGATATGCTTAAACTATAATTTGCGCAACATTGTTCGTTATGTTTTTTATCAAATGAAAATTGGGGTAAAATGTTTTGCCCTCTTCATTTTGTATTAACCTACCAACACTTTTCAAATTTTGAGCCTCTATTGATAAGTTTTCATTTAAGTTGTATAAAACATTCCAGACTAAACCATGATCAGAAATTTATCGTCATATATCGATATTTGTTGATATATGTTTTATATAAACTTGGAATACAGTCGATTACCCATTCAATCAAAATGTGTATGACAAATTCAGAAGAAAAATACGAGAATATGATGCAAAGCACAATGGTTAGGTTGTTCTTAGAATGGTAATTATCAGTCAAAGATGTATAGCGCCAGAGTGTTAAGAGTATTCATCTTGGGATATTCGCATCAATTCTAGTAAGAATATAATCATTCTTGCTGCAGTTTATTATTTTGTTATTAACTGATGTCGGGTAATAGCTCAATGAACAAAATTGATGTCCATCAAGTTATTTTATTATTCAATTGCATACATCTTACGTCCTTATTTTTCATTTCTTTGAGATAGTAAACTTTACACTTTATACGTAGAAAATGAATACAATATTTGTCGGAAAATTGCATTGAGGCAGAATTGTTTGAAAACTGGTTAATACCTAATATACATTCTGACAAATGTGTGCCATGCAATAAATATAAGTATACATGAATAGTTTAAATGATTTAACGTAATTTGAAAACATCTGCCAGGCCTGCTATAAAACCTATAAAAAACATGTTGTTCTTAGAAAAAATGCCACATTATAAAAATTGAATTTGAAAACAAAAACATTTGCTTCAGTGGCCATATTTCATAACAGCTAGATCGAAACAAATGTTTGGTGAATTTAAATGGAATCTACTGACATCAGAGTGACTACTTTATGAAATCGCATCAATATCGATTGACAACAGGGATTTCTGTTCAAAGAATACTGGCTGAGAATATCAATCACGAATATCAGTTCAGTTATCTAAGTTGCCCATAGGAACCCATAATTCTTAACTCATAAAATGTACTTTGCACAACATTTTTTTTCCAGCAAACCATTGGTTGTGGAAGTAATATTGGTTTAAATCATATTTCCTTCCTCATTTAGAAGTAAAGAACGACAATTTAATCATTGGTATCGTTTAGAGTTATATTTGATCAATTTCATTTTATTTTCATAATACTTCCAGACTCGATTGCTGTCAAAATTTTAATGTAACACATCGATATTTATTGATAGTATGTAACATCAACTGTGATTTAAGTCAATAATTCTAAATATGAAACAATCTAATAGCAATTCACATGGAAATAGTCCACTGTACAGTGTTCTTATGAAAATATGTCTTAATTATCATAGTTTGATAATGTCATTCGTTTTATTCCTCATACGAAAGGTGAAGTTTTATTATAATTTTGTCATCCCTGATCAATTTAACTATATTGTCATCATACGATTCAGGAAAACCCCATCAACAAATTTCTGTTGACTTGAGGTTATTTGATTAGATTCAATTACATACATGCACATGTCCTTATCTTTTTTTCGCCATAGAAATGGTACATCTTAAATCTAAAACCAAATTGAATCAGCACAGAATTTAATTATTTGTATTTAATTTTCTAAATATTAAAATAAATGTAACTGAATGACATCAATAATTTAAGGTATCAGTATTCTATCAGAGGCTAACCGATGTTCAAAAATCATAAATCGATTAAAATATAATTTAAGGTAGCAAACAAAGACAGAGGGATTGCATGAAATCCAATAGGAGAGAGACTTGGTACGTAGACAGTGGAACATATGCATTAGAGATACAGAACTCCAAGATAAATCAAAACAGAGAGAAGTCCATAATATCTGACAATACCAAACGTTCGACTATATCAACAATAGGAAAGAAACAAAACAACTTTAATATTCCTGTTATTTTACATCCATTTTTCGAAGAAAAACAAAATTGTGGTTTCAATAGCGAGGTAAACCTCCCAATATGATGACTGATCAAATTACTAAGGATTTTTTTAACTCCATAGATATAAGAAGATGTGGTATGAGTGCCAATGAGACAATTCTCCATCTAAGTGTAAAAGTAAACCATTATAGGTCAAAGTACGGTCTTCAACACGGAGCCAATAAGTATTCGTCGTATGCTTTATCTTTATAAAAACAGAATTATTAACGTTTACGAAAGGGCCCAACGTGAAGTTACCATCAAATGAATAAAACACAAATTTTGATACTAAAAGAATAGTTGCAATCAATTTTTTTTTGGTTGAAATGCCTATAGATATTATCTTTACAAAATATAATGAAACATGAATGAATTAATACTAAATAATGTTTGTGATAGTAATAACAGAGTAAACAGTTTTCGTTCCTCGTTCAGCAGTAAGTAATTGACGACAGCTTATGAGAACCGTTTTAAAGTTATGATTGAAAAATTCCATTTTAAGTTTATCATTCTTCGGGACATTATCGCAAACAGAATATAATGTCGATTTCAGTCGTTCTCCTTTATAACTTTGTGGAAGAAGTTTTTGTGTAAGTAGCATACCCTTGACCGTCCGGCTATATTTCGTTCAAAGTAGGGGAACTATTTTATTGTATCATAAACTTCTGTCTGAACCAGTGAGATGTTTTTCGTTTACCTTAAGGGACCGTTCTTAATTGTCACTAACCCTTAAACTAACCCCTTTAAAACATTAACCATAATGCTTACACTGGTCCTGAAACCTTACAATAAACTAAAACAAATCCTACCATTTACAAACAAACAATAAATACAGGGTCCTCTTAAGTAGGCCGTTTCGATTGTATTGAAATATATTTTTGATACAATACCATAGCCACTGTTTAGGTATGCCGTTGCTCAACTGGTTAAAGTGTTCGTATCTTTTTAATGTCTGCTCCAAAACGTCAACAGTATTGTTTTCAGAAAGTTAAAGAACAAAACAGAAATTTTGCCAACTTGTTTTGTTTTCAATCAAAAAATTTCTTTCAGATGGTTAATTAACAGACAAATAAATTATAATAAGATTTTGAACAAAATCTGCAACCTAACCTCATCAAAACTAAAACATGAAGATAGTGAGAAATAAATGAGGCAAAGGGAATAGTTTAATCTTTCTCTTTTAAAAAAGATGGCAAAGACATTTTCAATCTGTTGCATAATGTAAATAAATTAGACATTTCATCGAAAATCTAATCAAAAATCGTTCTATCAAATAATTTTGAAAAAGATTGCACATAAAGAATACTTTATCATATAGAAACACTATTAACGTGAAATGAATATACGAAAAATAATTGAAGCAAACAAAACTACCAAAGTGACTAAGAACAATATTGATCAACGGTGTTGTTTGGAGCATATCGACATACCCTGCTCAACATCTGACATCCATCGGGTTACTTTTTGAATCACCGATATTTCAAATCCATTTATTGGGCATCTTACGATTACGCATAGATATATGTCTCTTGTCCAACCTTAAGACATCACCAAATTCAAGAATCATCGGTACATGTTAATGTGTAACCGTTAGAAATCAGCAAATACAAAATCATCGGAACAAACTAATTAGGCATGCCTAATAATTATATATCCCTTAGGCATGTTAGGATATCTACAAATACAAAGTCATCGGTGCATGTTTTAATAGGCACCAACCATAAGACATGAACAAATACAAAACCATCGGGACATTTGAATGTTTAACCCTTAGACATTACCAAATACAAAATCAGCTGTATATGTTAATTGTTTAACCCTAATACATCACCAAATACAAAACCATCGTTACATGTTATTTCTCTTACCCTATGACACTACCAAATAAAAAACCAAAGGTACAATTATTATCTAGTCCTAGGAATTACCCAATTGTACAAGTTGAAAAGAAATTAAAAATTTTAAGGACAAATGGTAGTCCGCACTTTTACCGATTAGGACAAGACAGACATTGAAAAATAAATAACCACAAAGTATAGCACTCAAATCTAAGACACGGATTTGAATGACGCTTATAAATTATTGAATCTTTGAATTTTTTAAAGCCGTGGTTAGAAAATTTCCTCCGATTAGTAAATGAGCAAGAGTTGCTAATAAATAATTGAAATTATAAACGTGGGAGTATTGATCGGAACAGACGATACTTTTATGAATGACGGGAAAATCAAGAGATACTGTATTTTGAAAAGACATAATTTCATAGAATATACAGAATCAACCGTTCCATAATTTCAAATATCTATGTTTGGACGTATTACATTTTGAATCTTTTTCTATTTGTTTTTCTTTCACGTTCATAGCGAACTTTTATCAATATTATTTCAAATTATTTTGATATTTAAATACGACCCTTCTAGTTATTAGTCAGCATTAAGATAGGAACGGTATGGATGAATTTTAATAAATGTCTACTGAGACACATGATGAGAAAGATTAAAAAAAAAATATTTTTTTTAAAGACAAAGAGGGGGAAACATACAGTCTTAACGGATCAAGATGTGTCCAAATATAATATTAAAATATTATGCTCTTATTCATGTTGTTATTCGAATCTTGTAAAACAAACTCTGATAATTTAAACAAAACTATGAAGTGTCAGTAACACGGAATTCTTACAAAAATTAATACACTATGACAAAAGACAGCTCATGGTGAGGTCTCGACTTAGGAAAGGCGCAATGAATGTGTCGCAGGTTTTGCATGATATCTTACCCCTTCTCCTTTAAATTTCGAAGAGAAGACTTACAAGACGTATATATAAGAACTTCTAGAAGTACTGTAGCCTTTTAAATCTTTCCATTCGGTGACCGTTTTGAATAATGAGTAGTCGATTTATTATCTATTGATTGTCTTTTGGACTTTTGGTCTTTGATTGATAGTTGTTTCATAGTGAAATCCTACAACATCTCTTTATTTGATGTGGTATAAAAATAGTATCTAAATAAAAAAATCATTTTAAAATCACATCATCATTTACATGTATATTAAACAGTACAAATATAAATACGAAATTCCTTTTAATTATGCGTGGTCATGACACAAATGTCACGTACAAAATGACAAAATGGAATTTTCCTGGAATTTTCCTTTTATTGTTATATTTTGTACTGAGGTTTAAAAAAATATAACCCTTTATTGTATAGATAAATTTACACTCTTTGGTTGACTCATATGTACAGACAAGGTACATTTTATAAATGAATAGTATATGTTAATGGTTCAGGTTTCATATGAAAAAGTTTGTTGTTTTAAAAGGTTTATTGTTCAATAGAGATACTGTTGTAAGTCAGTTTGTAAGCAGAGGTTAAAACAAGAATAATAAACCGGTGCTCCAGTGTTTGCATAATTGTTGTAACGATAAACTGTTAAATACTGACATTTAAAAGTTTAAAACTTTACTTATACGTAAGTGCATAGTGTGGTTTTACAAATCACTCCAGCAAAGTTATACTGAAGCAGGAATTCGGATAAGTATCAATAGATTTGATTTAAAAAAAAATTACATTCAAATGTCCACAACTTAATTTGTACTTCCATAGTGAGAGGTTACAACTCCTTCTGCAAAGTTATACTGTGACAGGTATTCTGATAGGTAGCAATATACTAGATTCGCACAAATATTTTATTGAACAAGCTTCGTAATTTTTGTCTTAACTTTGAAATACTGATTTTTCATGACCACCAAAAAAACGTATCGTATGTTTTGTTTTAGTAAAATAAACACTTGAAATACTCACAAATTTGTTGTTGAATTTGGAATATTAGATGGGACTGTTGTTAGAGATCTTTCTTCGCAACTAACAATCGTGTGCCAGCACCAACATGAGGAAGGACACCCATTGACGATGCCTCCAAAGACAGTGCATGTAACCATAAAAATTACAAGGTACACTTTCTCCATTATACGCCTGAAATATACCCATTACAGTGTAAAAATACTTCTGATGTATAATATATAACTAGCTGATATTGTCAAAAATACTTAACTTCAATCATTGCATTTAACATCTTGTAAAAGATCCAGAAAAACGCTTCGGACGCATGCAATTTATATCGTGTTGTTTCCATATGTGTAAACAATAAAAAAAAATAACTATTTCGTTCAATAATAAAATGCTGTCACTTAGAGTAAAGTTCAATCATATCCGCATGTTCATTTCATTATTATTTTGTCCAAACAATTATATATTCCGAATTATAAAAAAAACATTCTAAATAATCGAACTAATCAGCAAAAGGTATTTTCAAATTTTTATAAACAAAAAGAAAAGATTTCGCATCTTATACAAGACGTTTATATTTTGTTCGTAGATGGTAGTTGTTACTGACTTGATAAGCAGTAAGTTTAAACATAATTTTGTTTCTTGCACAAGTTGGAATGATTGTGCTAAATAGGGGATCAGCATAAAAATCTGTTTGCTTGAAAGCATATAGACTTAAGAAAATGCATCATATATTTTACATGAAGTTTCAATCATTTTTAGATTAAAATAGTGTTTAAAAACATTCATATATGCCTTTATATAAAAATAACGATATGTGGTATGATTGCCAATGAGACAACTATCCACTAATGTTTAAATGAAGTGGATGTAAGCAATTACAGGCAACTGTACGGCCTTCAACAATAAGCATAAACCCATACCGTATAGTCGGCTATAAAAGGCCCCGACATGAAAAATATGAACCAATTCAAAAGAGGAAACTAACGACCTAATTCATTACAAAACAATTTACGAAAACAAATATGACAGACATGAACCAACAACAACCACTTAACTACAAGCTCATGACTTGGACAGGCACATAAAGAATGTGGCGGGGTTAAACATGTTTGAAGGCGCCAACCCAACCCTCCCCCTAACCTGGTACGGTGGTGTAACAGTACACCATAAGAACAAACGTTGAAAAGGGATTAACTCTTCAGATTGATACAAAGCAGAAAAAACATCGAACAAAAACACAGACAAGAGATCTTACTTTTTGTTTGTCCTCCCTCAAATTGTTTTATGGATAAAAATGAAAGGAAATTCCCTGAAAAGTAAATTTAAATAAACAGACATAACAATGCTTTCGTTCAGCTGACAATACTATTGTGACTTTCTTCCCATCTACAAAATGGAAACACTATACTTGGATTCTTACAAAGCTAGTGCTAGTGGTATCCAATAAAACTTCCCCTGAATGAATTACAAGTTAGTTTGTACGCCCAAAAATAATTTGATCGACCAGTGTGTAACAAGCACATAGAGAATGTGACTAAAAGGAGAATTTTGGTACACGTCAATGAAACAACAACCCAATGACAACATTCGCCGAAACAAAGACATTTGTGATTACTTTTATCCATTTTCTATGAGTTATGTAGAATGCAACAGGAAGATTCTATCTATATGCATAAAAAGTAAAATCACAAAAATACTGAACTCCGAGGAAAATTCAATCGGAAAGTCCCTAATCACATGGCAAAATCAAATGACAAAACACATCAAACGAATGGACAACAACTGTCATATTCCTGACTTGGTACAGGCATTTTCAAATGTAGAAAATGGTGGATTGAACCTGGTTTTATAGCGCTAAACCTCTCACTTGTACGACAGTCTTATCAAATTTCGTTATATTTACAACGATGCGTGAACAAAACAGACATTATAAATAAAATAGTCAAAATATGGGTACAGCAGTCATCACTGTGTTACAATATCAAAACAAACAATTATTTACAAAAAAAGCACAAAAGCATCTATCAAATTAAGACCCACATTCATTGCTTCGCGTGTCTGACGTCAGAAAATGTAAACGTCACATAAGAAAAAAGTTTGTCATTCAATGTCTATTCAAAACAATTTTATAATTTCACATGGGGAATGTTGGTATACAGGGTTAAAAAATCAAAAGTTATGTTAGAATTAATTTCAGAAATAGACCGAGATTTATAATTGTCCAGAAGTTCTTCAGAACCCTTAAGAATCCACATATGGTAAATACCACTACGCGAGTAAAATAAATTTGTCGTTTGTCGTTCAAAGTATTTTCAAATTTATAATAGAACAATAACATAATGACATATAATAGAACAATAACATAATGACGGGATCTTTTAAAGTACAGAGTCACGTTATAAGAACCACAGAAACACAAAAAGTCGCATATACAAAACACACCAGTAAAAATTAAAGATAATACAAACACATTGACGGGATGTATAAGTACCTAGCCACGTCAAATGGATATCACAGAAAACAAACCAAACAGTAAAAGTAATATTAATAATAGAACAAAGACAAATGAAAGAACAATATTACACGTTGTTAAGATGATAAACAACGTCAGTATGCAGAATCTATACTTCAAGACCATCATGTATTGTTTGTGAAGTTGATACGGAATATTTATCAACAAGGTCTTGGTACCTTCCGATGAACTTTTTTAGAAAAAGGACGAGACGTTCTTTGACATACCCCTGGTTCATCAACTTTCTGCTCAGACACTGGTGACGTTTTACAAAGTCTGAGTAAGAGCTGCAAGCTCTTGAATATCGAATAAGTTGGGAAATGTATATCCCATATGCAGGTGAAGTTGGTATATTGCTACTAAGGTGGGGGAAATTTATAATTTTAAAATTAAAATCGTCTCGTTTGTCATAGATTCTGGTACTGAGATGACTGTGTATGTCAAATTCGAGATATAAGTCTAAAAATGAGGCGGAGGAAGCCATGTCTGTTGTTTCTTTAATTTCTAGTTCTGGGGGATATATTAATGGAACCCAATCAGAAAAGTTCGGATTGTTAATGGAAAGAACATCATCAATATATCTAAAAGTGAAATTAAATAATCTGGCTTCTTTGATCTTCTTGTTTTTGACAAGTGTCTGAAGGAACTCCGATTCATATGAAAATAAGAAGAGGTCGGCAAGGAGAGGCGCACAGTTCGTTCCCATAGGAATGCCGACAATTTGTTGAAAAAGTCTACCTCCAAATTCAACAAATATGTTGTCGATAAGAAACTCCAGCATACTGATCACTTGTTCATCTGTGTAGCATGTTTTACCCTTTTGTTCACTATTAACAAAATATGCCTTATGATATCCCAAAGTAATAAATTTATAGCGTATGCTACCATTTTTATGATGAAAGGCATTGTGGATTATTTCTTTCAAGCGATTTTTCAATTTCACATGGGGAATGGTGGTATACAGGGTTGAAAAATCAAAAGTTTTGATAGAACTAATCTCAGAAAAAGACCGAGATTTAAAATTATCTAGAAGTTCTTTAGAATTTTTAAGAATCCACATATGGTTAATACCACTACGCGAGTAAACAGTTTCACAGTATTTCTGAAGACCCTCTTTCACTGCGGACAGAATTTTAGTCAATCTAATGGACAATTCTTTAGTGGAACATGCAGATGAGCCGGCAATGTACCGTTGTTTGTAAGGAATTTTGTGGAGCTTAGGTATCCAATACAAAAAAGGTAAATCCTCCGATTTGGTGTTCAATGTAATGTTCATTGAAGCCATGAAGGACTTATGATTTGCTAATGATATGTCTTTGTATGTGGGATTACCTGAGTGCTCATTTATTCCTAATTCTTTTACAAGACATTCGTAGTAATACGATTTACATATAAAGACAATATTATTTGAAGCTTTGTCCGCAGGAACAACAACATACTTATCATGAAGAGATGATAGACATTTCACGGCCTCTTTGTCTCTGAAAACGGACTTAGGTCGATCATTCACACAGTTTTTCAACTTATGAATGCGACGTTTTATCAGAGACCTGATAGTTTTGACCCATTCTGACAAAGTGTCCAGTTCAACTTCTTCTCGTTTAGCCCATGCTCTGGCGTAGTCCTCAATGGAATCCATAATTATTTTGAAGTTATGGTTCCAATTGATGTGTTGGGGTTCTCTAAACTTAGGGCCATGAGAAATCACCTTTCGGAGATTTTCATGTTGAATTATGTTTAGATCCCCAGTTATAACATGACCAGAGGGGCTGTAATTATAAGGCGAGTGGGAACAGTCACATGTCGGTGGGTTTTTGAGGTATTGTTCTAAGTCAAGGTCCTGCAATGCTTGTTTATAGTTAAATACTTTAGGTGCAATGGTTTTGGTGTAACTGTAGGATACAATAGGAACAGACTGATTTTGAAAGTAAATAGGAATTTTAGATATTACCTCCTTGTGATGTGGAACGTTGCAGATGTTGATTGCATCAATCCCTCTATTGGTAAAGTGAACAGGAAGGAATTTCCTCTTTTCCTCGTGTAAAGGTTCCGATCTTACTGGTTTGAAAAGACGGAAAAGAGCTACATCACAAATAATACTGACTAGTCTGTATATTGGAGAAAATGTATCGATGCATCCTTTGTCAAGTGCATAATCTCTCAAACATTTAAGAAAATTAACAGGCAGTGAAAAAAGAATAGTTCTAATGTAATGTAACCCTAGTGGATGATGAAGATGTGAAAGAAGGTCATCAAAGCTCCCAGAGGGCGATCTAGATTTTGATGACTTTTTTACATTAGGCCGATGGTAATGTTTTTGCCCATGACTACGTTGCTGTCGTAAGGTAGTATTAAATAAACTCATTACATTAACATCACTGCAGGCAGGACTGGACAAATTTCCTACTCCTTTGACATTATCATTGCAACCATATGGCATTGTAGTCCCTAATTCCCTTATCCAGAAATTTTCTCTATCTTTGCGGAAAGGAGTACTTAGTACAGGGCTATTTGTGTGGTGATAAATTTTCTCGATGATGCGTACTTTCATAGATAAAGAAGGATCATGGTCCGATATCATGTGTTTATACAGTATGGATGTCAAACTCAAACATAGCTCGAGTCTTTATATAAATGTTGTGAATAAAGTTAACAGAAACAATTAAAGATC